GCCTTGTACTTTTTTGAGGGGTCCTTGAGCCTTTTAAGATGTTAGTATGTAAAAATATCAAATTGGAGTCGAGTCATTCCAACATACATCGGCATGGTGTTGGCGGGGTACCGCGGGGGGCAAGTGGATAAGAGGCGATAAAAAGTAGGGTATTAGATATAGTTAGGCCAAGTAGAGTCAAGATTGATTTGATTAAAAACAAAAATTGGCTTTCAAAATATGGACACGAGGATTCTTTTATAGCCAAAGTGAAAAGAAGGCCAATTAAGAATGGGGAATATGCTGTGACTCAAATGGCCCCGTCAATGACGCCGAGTTTTTCGGCGCCGACAGCGGAGTCACGTGATGTTCACATTGGTCGAAGGGCGTGATGGATCGGCAATAATTGACATGATGATGAGGTTGTGATACTTCTGTTAGGTTGCCACGATCTACTTTGATCATTTACCTTACCTTTTCTTTCACTTTACAGCTATTTGCAGCGAATATCTACTGCCCCTGTCTCCATAGAGGGACCCCGAACATCGGAGATATTTCTGCCTGAGGCATGAACTCCGAGGATAGCCGCGGGCATTGTTTGGACGCAATCAATTGATGTGCATCGGATAGAATTTAGATTGAGGACTCGAATTCGGCAAAAGATCGGTCTAATATACAATAATAGGAGTGAAATAGTCTCGCTCAAAATGACAACACACACGGTTATACAACATACAAAATTACACAAAGTTCTTCTCCATATCGACCAATAGCGGATGAACATCGTCCATACTAAGTTTGACAGCTCGAGGATTCTGTAGCGCATCATCACCTAGTCTGGCTTTGATCAGCGCTTGCAGTGTCTGAGAATCTTTATCTGTTTTGCTCTGCATCTGTCCAGTGACATCAACAGTGATACCACCATCGGCCAGGTCCCTTAGCCCGAGAATGAAGATGAGGTTATACTTCATCTGTTTGGCCCGCTGGATCTTCTTGCCTAGGGTCTGTGCGCTGGTATCGACGTCAACCAAGAATGTAGAGTCGACAGAGGACAGTGGACGGGGCGTCTCAGCGGTACCGTCATTCACCAATGCGCGGAAACCAGCGAACTTGGCCGCCGCTTCCTGAGCCTGGCGCACAACAGCATCATCTTGGTTAACTGTCAGGATAATGGCCTGGCGCGGAGAAAGCCAAAATGGCCAGTGGCCACCGTGCTGTTCAATCAGCAACGCCAAGAACCGCTCCAATGAGCCGAAGATGGCGCGGTGAATCAAAACCGGGGTTGCAACCCCGGGTGTGGCTGGATTGTAGTCCGGCTCACCCTCTGCAACTTGATACTCCAGCTCAAATCGCTGTGGCAGGTTCATGTCCAACTGAATAGTAGACAGCTGGTGGTACTTTCCAGCTTGATCCTGGAGCTGGATATCGATCTTGGGGCCGTAAAATGCACCATCGCCCTCGTTCAGCGCCCATTCGCGTCCAGTACTATCCAGAGCCTCGCGCAATTGCATCTCGGCATTGTCCCACATCTCCAAAGTCCCAATGTAATCCGTTTCGGGTCGAGTCGACAGGACCAATCGATACGGGCCGAGTCCGAAGGTCTTCATAGCCATGTCCACGAATCCAAGCGCCGACGTGATTTCCGACTTAATCTGCTGCGGGCGACTAAATATATGCCCATCATCCTGATGGAACCGGCGCACTCGCGTCAATCCTGTAAGTGAACCGGACACTTCGTTGCGGTGCAGCGGACTGAAGTCTGCGTAGCGCACGGGCATGTCGCGGTAAGAGTGATTCTGAGACTTGAAGAGCAGGCAGTGGCCGGGGCAGTTCATTGGCTTCAGTCCGTAGGACTCGTCTTCGCCCAATTCGCCCTCTCCCTCACCACTGGCTCCTCTGCCAGTCACTTCATACATATCATCTTTGTAGTTCTGCCAATGGCCCGATATCTCCCAAAGCGATTTTTTGTAGATGGTCGGGGTTAAGACTTCACGAAAGCCGTATTGTAGGTACTGGGTGCGGAGGAAGGAGATGAGTTTGTTGACAACATGTGTGCCATTTGGGAGGAATAGAGGAGATCCGGGACTGTAGACTGAAGATGTGAAGAGCTCCTGGGCTGTTCCGAGAGCTCGATGGTCGGTGGGAGGTATCGTTGGAGCTTCGGGTTTGTCAGAACACGAGCAATGGCGAATGGCTGTGTATGACAGCGGTCGCGATCGTGTAAATTGCCATGGCAGAGATTTAACGCCAGGCGTTAGGGACGGTCGTAGACGAAGCAGTGAGCGCATGGTTGCTGAAGATTCTCAAGTCCTCGGCCGCGGCGGTTTCTCCGATCTTTCATTCCCCACCGCTTTGCGCGTGCAACAATCTACTTGGGCCAGTCGCATTCTAAACATTCTTGAAACACTCCGAGTGGGATATTAACTACAGAACGTATTAACTATTGCATGAATTACATGTCTTGAAATGTTTACGCCATGTCTACAAAACAGCTTCATACCCCAGATCGCGCGGCTCTTGGCGAATCCTGGGTGATGGCATCAACTGCTTCTCTGAAGCCAAAAGAGGACCCCACCAAAACTCCAAATGCTCGGCATGAAAGCAGCAAAGCGACCACAAAGACAGCTGACCCTGCATCAGAGTCACTGACATCCTCATCGTCATCATCATGGACCATATCAGGCCCGGAGCTCATCATGCCCTCTATCTGCGAAACGCCTAATATAGAAGGGTCATGGGTAGAATATGTGCGGAGTCCGAAGCAACAAGGCTCAGAAAGCATGAGAAAACGACGCAAAGTTTCCACACAGAAGAGCGCAAAGCACCGAGAGCAGGACCGAACCAGCGCTAAAGTTGGAGATGCAGACGCTGGTTCATCTGCAGAGACAACCACCAAACAAGCAGTCCCGGTTGTGAAATCCAAGTCCATCTTTAGTAGTCATACTGCCCTCGCCCGCAAAGCAATCAACGCAGTCTTGATCGCCATCATCCTGCACCTGCTGGTTCTCCCCGAGGTAGTCTACCAAGCCAAGGACCTCTGCCATCTCCCAAGCATCAAGACTCTCTACCCCAACAGCTGCATCACCCTCCCCACGACATACCCACCACGCAGTGCCTACCACCCATCCGCAATAACCCCAGAAGAAACCCTCGCAACCTCCCAGCGCCAACTGGAATTCATATTCGACACGGCCCTCGAAACCCTCACACCTCTATCCGCAATCCTCAAACAAAGCGAAAGCATGCTCGGCGACCTAGAATCGCAACTGAAATCAACCTTCCCAGACGCTCGCAATGCGCTAGACCTCGAATTCACCGGCAGCAACCAAGCCGTCCAAACGGCAGTATGGGAATTTGACTCTCTACGCGCCGACCTGCGCTCAGCAATCGACAGCCTCCTCGCCTCACGACCAGCAACCGAAATAGGCGGCACAGCAGCTCTAGACACACGTCTCGCGATCCAAATGCGACGACGCGAAGAGTACCTCGGCCGACTGCGCTCTCAAATCCGCAGCAAAGCAGACTCGCTCAACACGCGATTCACAACACTAGACGACCACCTCGAAGCGGTAGATGGGATTGTCGCACGCGAAGAACGACGAAACCCAACATTCCCCAAATACCGATCGTCCGAGGACAGCAGCAGCGACCGTCTCTATTCCGTTCTCGACTCGCTCCCGCTAGGACCGTTCGGGGCATATTTCTTCCGGGGACGATCGTCAGGAGATGCAGATGCCAATGCAGTTACAGGGACGGAGTCGTCATCGTCAGCCGTGGCCTCCACTACCTCCACCGAACCCACACACACCCCCCGGCCTGCGGCAACCCTTGCTCTTCTCCGGGTTGCGGCCACGCACCATCGTCCCGTTGCTGACTCGGTGTTACGGCTTTCCCAGCAGTTAAAGGATCTGCGACGTGTGACTGGGGCTGGTTCCACTTGGTGAATTGAGGTCTCCACAGGGGGCTGGGGGCGCTGAGGGGGAGCTCGGATTTTGATCAGGGTCCGAGAGTTGATTGAATTTTTGAATTTGAAGGGTTTTTTTTTTAGGTGTTGCTGTAGTTACAGTCTGGTTTGGGGAGTTAATGTTTGGAGTGCATTTTTTTGGGACTTTGGGCGTTTCTATCCGAGAAGATGAGATGAGTTAGATGCAATAATGAGCCACGACAAGATATTACTATTCAGGATATTGTACTGCAATATACGGAGTACACAAATGCAACCTACAATTCATATCCACGAGCCAAGTACTCCGTATGGAATATGTAAATTACAACATAGGGATGCTGTATGTATGGGACCCTTCTTCGATCTTCCACGGTTCGGCCATATAATCATCGCCCGGTCAACCAATCCGACTACACACGTCTCATTAGGTACAACTTATCATCAACCAATCCAAGCCCAGGCCCATTACAATCAAGTCCTCAGTCCACGGTTCATACCAAGTCCATTTTCCGGTGTGAAGGTCTATTTTCGGTGAGGCCGGTGGATTATAGTGGATGTGCATATGTAACTCAAAGCCACAGAAAAAAACAAAAAGACATGCATATGATCGATGAGAATGCGATGCGGATGTGGGATAGGGTTTTCGGTATACGAACACCATAGGAATTGAAAGCTAAGAGACATATCAACAGGAAATAAGCGGTGAGGAGATCTAGATTGTAAACTACAATGGAAATGATGTGTGAAGTATTCAGTAAAGTCAATTGACTTGGTATTATTGCATATTTGCTCGATGGCAAAGGTATGTATGACGCTGATAGATACATGATGTCCGCCCAAAGAAAATCGCTCGTTACCGGACTATGCCAATGAACACATCCGGGCAACCTAAAGAATAGATTGCAGGCATTTGAGCACACCAAGGACAACGCAAAGGGGAAAAAATGGTACAACCAGAAAGAAAAAAGAAAATCGCATCCATCAACCATTACCATACCCGGTCCAGCCAAGTATCCTCTTTCGAGGCGCGTTTCGTTAATGATGCGTCAAAAAGTCATAGCGCTGAAAGGGACATTTAAAGCTGGAGCAGGGCGGTCACCAGACCCAGGAGGGAGACAGGTCCCAAGTAGCTGGCAGCGACAGAGGCAGCTGCGTTAAAGCTAGGGCTGGCGCTGGCACTGGCACTGGTGGATGAGCCAGATCCAGAGGATGAGCTGGAGCTGGAGCCGGTCTCAGTGCTGGATCCGGAACCGGAGCTAGATTCAGAGGTAGAGCTGGAGCCAGAGCTTGAGCCAGAGCTGGGGCTGCTAGAGCTGGGGCTGCTAGAGCTGCTGGGGGAGACACCAGAGCTGGAAGCACTGGCAGCACCAGAGCTAGAGGCGGCAGTGGACTCGGCAGAGGAGGAGGTGGAGGTCTTAGTAGCCAGAGTAGTAGCAGCGACGGAAGTGCTCTCGGTGGTGGAAGTGCTCTCAGTGGTGGTGGAAGGAGACTGGGTGGAAGAGGAAGCCTCGGAAGAGGAGCTAGTGGCAGCCTCAGAGGTGGTGGTGGGAGCCTCAGATGTGGTGGTGCTGCGCGAGCTCACGGCGTTGGAGCCGGTGAACTGGATGCTTTCAGCGGAGCCAGACTTGTCGGACCAAGTGTAGGACTCGGCGGGGTTGGCGTTCTTGACACTGATGCTCTTGATGTACATGGAGTAGGGACCCTTGGAGTAGTCGGTCAGACCACCAGCCCAGTCAATGGTACCCTGTCCGTTGGTAGGAGCACCACCGGCCCAGATACCAACGTGGATGTTCATAGGGGTCTGAGGGAAGCGAGCACCACCCTGGGCATCGTTGTAGTTAAGAGTGCGGACATTAGCACCATCAATCAGCCAGTTGATGGTGTCCTTGGACCATTGGATGGTGTAGGTGTGGAAAGAGGCATGAGGGCTGGAGACGGGGACCCAAGTCTCACGGTCATAGGTGGTGGTATCGCCCTTTCCGAAGTAGTTGGTCTCAATGGTGTTGTCCTTTCCGCCCAATGCTTCCTGTATTTCAGTCAGTAATTTTTCACTTTTGTATATTTGACTCCCAAATATCACGTACCCAGTCAACCTCATCCTTGTCATCAGACTGCAAAAAGGCGGAGCTGACAATGCCTTGGCCAGGAGAAGTCTTCATCTCCATGGTCAATTCACCGTAGAAGAAGTAGAAGTCACTGACAAGGGTAGGAGCATCTCCTTCCTTGTTGATAGTGAACTCGGCACCATTAGAGCCGGTGGGAACACTGCCGCCACTGATCTTCCACTGGTCAAGTCCACTAGCCTGGGTGAAGTCAAAGTGAAGGCTGGACTCGGTCGAACCCTTGTTCGGAGGGCAGGATGTCTCCATGGGGTTGCAGTCAGAGTAAGTCTGAGCAGAAACGAGAGGGGCAGCGACGGCGAGAGCCGCAGCAGCGAACTTCATGAAAGACGGCATTTTGGGTATAATACGCGCGCGATCAAAGAGACGTGAATATGTAAACAAGAGAAGAAAGGGAAGTCAACGAGGGAACGACCCTATTATATATCCTTTGTATAATGAGGAAAGTGGAAACGAAAGTGGATTGTAGTAGGAACCTTGGGAAAGAACGACTGGGAAGGTGCCACTTTATCTACTCCGTACCTTCTCCATAATAGTATACAAAGTATACAAAGTATACATACAAAATATATTACTCCGTACTCCGTACACTGCCACGCTACTAAAAAAAGGGAGGCGGGAGTAACTGAGAAAGAGAAATGATTGGATCCCGGGCGGCAAGGCCAGCAGACGCTGAGACAAAAAGGTAAGACCAGTCAAAGTGGACCCCCTTTGATGTTCCATGAGGGGGAAAAGTGGGGTTCGACGATCATTGGATTGGGTCGCGAGACAACCTTGGAAGGATGAGGCTGGAAATATCCATGGGTGAAGTATAGTACTACTACCTAACCTAGGTATGTATAGATTACGGAGTATTCTGTACATACAATATACACAGTCATCCCTACTATGTGCCCAGGTGTACAACATAAGCAATGCCTAAGTCTATATTGTAGGTATATGGTGACCTCCAAGTACCCGATCAGCCGATCCGATCATGTGTTAGAAAAGGCGAAATTATTATCACAGTGTACAGTACTTACCATCGTTACATCCAGGGTCCATAAAAGAAAATTCAATAGCATAACATACATCATACTAATTGTACTCCTGTACTCCGTACTCCGTACTCCCAGCCCTCGAACTTAAGCGACCGGCTGTTGCCTTATTATGGGGGTTTTTTTCTTTCTTTTTTTTTTCCCGAGGGCCGATTCTTATATTACAATTCCAACCATGACATTTATTACACTCTAGTATGGCATTACTCAATATATCTTGTAGATCATCCTAAACCCCCCCAGTTAATTAAATTAATGTCTATCATCACTATCACATCCATGTAATCATGAAACACGGGCCACTCGACCACAATCCTACTTAGGCCACTGTAGTTTACAGTATGAGGGCTTCGTCCTCAATATACCTTTTCTCATAAATATGTTCTACTCAATACACTCATAATAATAATAAAAAAAAACAGCTCGCATAAGATTGCCCAAACTTAATACTAATAATAACTCAATTTTTTAAAACAAAACCCACAAGTCGTGGGTTTTTATCAGATGACTCAGGAACTAGCGGCCTGTGCCTGAACTAGTGTCAATACCACCTCACTCGGGGCTGGGTGAGACTTTGGTCCTTAGAATAGCCTATCTGACTGGTTGTAGAAGAGTATTCAGTCCTTTATTAGTCTCATTGTCTCACTGGTAAAGAGTATGCATGGAGTGTTTCTTGTCCTTAAAAGAGTTGAAATTTTCATTGTTATCTCAAAAAGCCCTGTCTTTCTCCCCTCCTAACGTCCCCTCTTATGCAAGGTTATGCAAGGGAATTATTGTTATCAGGTTTCTTTTCAGACCCTCAAACATTTATAATCATTTACGATTATACATTTATACATTTATACAACACACAAACATCGTACATGGAAGTACATATTATACACGTGATTGTTAACTCGCCCAGGTGGCTGGGTACGGGGCTCAGATGCAGGAACGTTAATCGGTCCATCCAATCATGGCTTCTGTCCATTTTATACCGAGTAAAAATACTCGCTTTACTGACTTCAAGTTGTACATCGGATCAGAAATTGAGAATAGAAAAAAAAAACGTGGCGTTCGGACTTTACCTAAAGAATGTGGTATTCCCCGGAAATTGGAATAACCTCCACCAAACATCCATGCCCAGGTGGCTCCCGCAATTTAAAAACAGCCCTCAAACTCAACTAACTCAACTAACTTAAACAACCATAATCCAACCCCCATAGCCCTAAAAAATCCCTAATGAAACTTACAGAGTCACCTCAGCAGGCCCAGTCAACTCAATCTGGACCTTCTTTGTAAAGCTCTGTTTCTGTGCATCATACCCAACATCCCGACGCTTATTCTTCTGCCCAAGCAGCGTAACAGTCTCAACAACCACATTAGGCCGATACCCAAACTGACCCTGGATCTTAAGCTTGCCATCCCGGTACTTGAACTGAATTTCCGCCGCACTGTCCGGCTGAATCGACTCGCCATCATCAATATACAGCTCACCCTCAGCAGATCCATCAACACCAGGCGCAATGAGGATCTCAAAGCCGCGCTTGCGCAGATCCGTTGTGGTCTTAGCACTTGCCGTACGGAGGGGGATGATACTCCCACCACGAATATGAATCGGGATATCCGTAACAGCAAGATCAGTAATCGTCTTCACAGATCCATCACCCTGCACAGCAACGCCAGTGAACCAATCATAGAAAAGATCATTTGGGAAATAGGCATCGACGGAGGTAGCGCCCTCTTCCGAGACAGGCGAGACGAGAATGGAATCACCGTAGAAGAATTGCAGCTCGTTATCAAAGGTCTTGCTATCTTCAGGGTAGACATAGAACAGCGGCTGGAGGAAGGGACTTCCCGTCAAGGTCTGACGATGGAAAGAAGTATAGAGATAATCGAGAAGACGGTATCTGATATCGATGATCTTCTTCGCGGCCTTGGTCACAGTTGGCCAGCGGTAGAATTCCTGTGGCACGGTACCGAACTCGTTGTGGTTCCGATAGAACGGATAAAAGCCGCCGAGCATTGCCCAGCGGGCGCATAGCTCTTCGGTTGTGTTTCCGGCAAAACCGCAGACGTCGCTGCCGACCATTGGGATCTGGAAAATTGATGCGAAGGCTAGCATCTGCGAGATTGAGATGCGGTATTTATCCCATTGGCTGACATTATCGCCGAGCCTGTTGGGGGAATTGGGGTTAGTATAGATGTATATTGTAGGCTGGGTTCGGAGTTTTATATGATCTTACCAGTGGCCGACATGAGAACCTGCTCCAGCGAATGTACTACGCGTGATAATTAAGGGTCGCACGTTGGGTCGACGCTTCAACATTGCCTCACGCGAAGCCGAGCTCATCACTAGGGTTGGTGTTAAGAAGGTTCCGATAATAAACACGGGGGACTTACTAGTTCCATAGAGATTGTGCGTGTCATACTCAGCGTAACCCTCACCGGCATGAATGATATCAGTATCAATAGTCTTATTGCTAATTGAACCAGCCTCGTTTGCGATCTGATAAGGCGGGTTAATAAGGTCTCGACCAGGCAAGCCGACCTTATTTCCACCACGACTCCGTTCCTCGATGACACTACGTGTCTCAATAACAGTGTCGCCTCTCTTCACACGCTGCGACGAAGAAGCCCCAAATGAAGAAAAACCAGGTTGGAAATCAGCTGGGAAGCCGGGGATATGGCGGGGAGACGATCGAACTGGCGGAGGCGCTGGGGGTAGGTCGTTCTCCTTGGCGTATTGTGCTGGGTCCTTGCATGGGTACGGGCAGAAGTTTGAAGCCTCGTTCATGTCGATCCATAGACCGTCAATGTCGACGCCGTCTTTTGCGCTGAAGAATCGCTTGAATTCTGAGTTCCAGTAGCTCTGCGTGTCTTTGTTGAACCAGTCTGGGTAGACGGTTAGGCCGGGCCAGACGGCGCCTAGAGATATAATGTTAGGAACGGTGGATATTGTGGTTCTGTTGGTAAACTTACCTTCGTAGAGTTCGTTCTGTTCCTTGTCACGGTACAGGAAGACGCCCTGGTCGTGGCCTCGTTTGAAAGCACCGTTATCTAGTGTCACACTCACTGTTAGAGCGGAATGAGGAGGAGCAAGTAATTATCACACTTACCAGAGTTACTGACGGCCGGATCGACCATAACAATGTAATGCTGGTCATGCTTGTGAAGATACGAAACCAACTCGCGCATCTTGTCCACAGGGAACCGCTCATCGTCTAGAGTAAACACCCGTCGACCACTCATGTAGTCAATGTCGGTCCACATAGTCTCGAGTGGGATCCCAGCACGGCTGTAGTTGTAAACTACCTCGGCCACATCGAAGACATCCTGGTAGCCATATCGGCAGTTGTGATACTGGAAGAATGTTAATTAGAACACAATTTCAAAAATCCGATGTGGAAATAACATACTCCAAAAGTCCAGTAGCTTTGCATAACAGGAAGACCAACGACCTCGGAGTACTGCTCGCTCACTTCCTTGGGGGTCGGACCGGCCATGAAGTAGAAGTCTAGGACTCCACCGAGAGTGTTATACTCGAGGTATTGTTTACCATCAGCAGTCTTATCGATCTTGATATCCATGCCGTTCGAGTTCAAAAAGAAGACACCATGGGTGCCCTTTTCTCCACGGTGATCAACGTAGATAGGATGAGTACCGTAGAGGTTTGAGTTAGAAGGGATGGTATATGCATCACGGTTCCAGATAGTGCGAGTATAGTTAGTGGTAGGCAGGCGTAGCGAATCACTGTGTTCGCCCAGACCATACAGGTTAGGATCATTGGGAAGCCAAGTGCGCAAATTCAAGTACTGAGACTGGAAGATGATGTTGGTGTCAGAAGTGTCGAAGAGCACTTCATCCCCGCGCAGAACACGGAATGAGAAAGGATTCTCTTCGAAGTCGAAGCGAAGGGCGGACTCCTTTTGATGCCCGTTTGCACTCTCGGGTCTGGGCAGAACAGAGTCTGGTACTTGGTAGACCTCCTCATCGGCATCGTAGATCATGACATGGAGGCGAGTTTCTAGTAGAACGATGAGTATACATTCATAGCTAGGGATGGAGTATAGGGGTATTGCAACATACCAGTCTGTGCCTCTACAAGGAGCTTTAGGTTTGGAAGATCCGTGCCATAGGTATTACAGGTATCCCCAGCAAGATCGAGGTCAGCAGTCAACCTCTGACCCGACTGCTTCACATGGGAGGCTTTATAGCCAGGACAACCGTCAAGCTGTGACGTTGATCCCAGAACAGCGGCACCCACGAGGGGAGCCAGGAGAAACAATGTGCCTTTCATGTTTAAAATCGGGCGAGCATTGAAGCACAGGACAAACACAGCATGCACACAGCAGGATACACTAAAAATCGTAGATTGACAAGAGGGACAGTGCACCCTTTTAAGGGATGCACTGGCCCATATCTAAATGGAGGGGGAGTGCGGAGTGATACAACATAGATCAAGGGGATGCTAGAGAAAGATACATTTGCCGGCCACATGATGAGTGACATTGCATAGCATTACATTGACAATTGCGCTGTCACATCGCCAAATCCTTGTTGCGCGGGGGAACGGGCAATTATCGGATGCTCCCTCTTGGCGATGATCGGCGCCCGATTTCGGGCCTATACGAGGTACATAGTACAGTAGCTCCAATAGCTCCAGATTCATGCTGCAGGGTCTTATTTTTAGGCTCCTTGTTATTGATTTTGTTTCTCCCAGATGAGGCCCAGCTGAAGTCCGAGAATGACGTGAGATGATTTTGACTTGCAAGGTCCCCCAAACCATCATCTATTTCTTTAATGTGGGTGTCGGTCCAGTGTCTACCTTCTACCTTCTACCTTTAACCAAAAATTGTGTGAAATAAAATAGCCATTTCATGGGCTTCTATTCTGCCCAAGGGCATCCTCTAGGCATCATTCATGAATATAAAAAGAAAATCTTCAAACGCCAACAGCCGCTCTTGATCCCAACCAGAAACCCGCTGATGTTCTCAAATACCGCTCATCTTTTTCACTCTTAGCTCAGAACTTCTCGCCAGCAGTGGCGGCCTTGACGTCCTCCTCCGAGCTCATAATCTGCACCTTGATGGCGCCAGTCTTAGGATTAGCGGCGGTCTCAAAGGCCTTGAGAGCGTCCTCAATGGAGTAACGGTGAGTAACCAGTTTGCGCAAGTCAATCACACCATTCTGAACCAGACGAATGGCCCGAGGCCAGGTGTTGCAGTAGCGGTACTGGTACTGCAGGTCGATCTCCTGGGTGCTGAGACGCATGAAGGGAATGGTCATCTCGTTCTTGCCCACACCGATAACAAACACCTTACCACCGAACTTGACGCTCCAGATGGCGGAGTTGACACTGCTCTCGACACCGGTGCACTCCAGGGCCAGCTTGGGGCGCAGCGCATCAGGGCCAGAACCCTGGCCGTCATTTAGGGCATTAATGATACCGTCGGCACATTTTTCGGCCGACTTGCCAATCTCCACCTTATAGGTGCGCACTTCAGGAACCAGGGACTTAGCGAAGGCCAAGCGGCCCTCGTCAATGTCAGTGATGACAATTGGACAGGCACCAGCGGCGCGTGCGCTGAGCAAACTGATCAGACCGATAGGACCGGCGCCGGTGATGAGCAGTGGGTCACCGAGACGCAGACCACTGCGCTCGACAGCCGCCAAGGTCACACTGAGAGGCTCTAACAAAGCACCGTCCTCATAGCTCATATCACCGATCTTGTGGCACCAGACGGCAGGGTGGTTGACGTACCGCCGGAGCAAGCCATCGACGGGTGGTGTGGAGAGGAAAGCGACATTGACGCAACCGTTGTAGCGACCGGTCAGACAGGGCTCGCAGGCGTTGCAAATAACGTTGGGCTCAATGGCAACACGGTCGCCGACCTTGAGGTGGGTAACATCAGGGGCAACAGCGAGAATCTGGCCGGCTGATTCGTGACCAAGGACATGGTCGCCCGTGACGATCATGGGGCCAATGCAACCGGCGTGCCAGAAGTGCACATCAGATCCGCAAATACCGGTGCTGCGCACCTCAATTGTGACCTCGCCAGCCTTCAGGCCCTTGCCAGCATTGATGTCCTCTGCCGTGGGGGTGGACTCGGCAATCCAAAGGTCATGCTTTGGGTTGGTGTAAACACCGATGTTGGCCTTGGTGACGGTTGTTGCGGAAGTCATTGTGTAGTGCGGAGGTAGGGGAGAGGAAGAAAATGGAGAATGAATGCATTAATACGAGGGAACAGCCACTTTAATACTCGAAACAAAAAATCTGGTGTCCGGTGATCTCACATTGTTCAACCCCACGTTGATAGATGGAGTAACAAAAAAGTGGAGTGGAGGGGGCTTTCGATTTAACCGGGGGGATTCAACTCCCTTCTCCGTCTGAATTGGGAAACCCTTGCCCGCTCTCAGTCTCGGGCCGAATTGTTGATCGGCTATCGGTTAATATTGTTCAATGATGCCGTTTCAATTTCCTTCCAGGATTGTTTCCTCATGTTATCTTGGTCTGGTTCATACTCAACAATCTAAAGTACTTCTGGTTCAAGTCAAAAGGTATACCATGTGAGAATTGTATCAAGAGAGGTAATTCTCCGGTGGAGGTGAATTTCAAGTGGAGCAAATGCTTTTTTCCGAGACAAACAGTGCAAACTCCATTTTATAGCCTCAGGCATTATTTATTTATTTTTCTACCTGCGTATGGATATCTCTCTACGGAGTACTATATATCTAAATATGATACCTATATGTATAACATGGATACAACTTGTCTTACCATGCATCGATACTTTGTTCCCAATTACAAGCCTATCGGGATCCAACAACCAATCTCTCGGATATTTCAAACTATAGCGAGGAGACGTGTAACAATCATTATCATCTGACTACTTACTATGTATACATCCATGGATGTAGGTAGTATTGTGTGAGACAAAGACTAAGCCCAGGTCTACTCTATACAATTGTCCATTGGACTGGCTGCTGCGGTTGTTTGGTAGTGTCACAATTGCAAGGTGATGATAAATGCACATCAGAGGCACATGTAATTGAATAATAGTTACTGTAGCATCATTTATAACCACCTGAAATAGATCGCTCTTTATATATATACCCTCCTAGGTAGTTTTTATGTTAGTCGGGTTCTCTCTGGACTATATAGATCGCCACCCGCATTCTTCTTAACGTAAATTTGACGATACTCTGTCTTTGTTTCTCGATATATCTATTGTCTATTATCCTTGATGCATGGTCTGGATCACATTTCAGATTTTTCCACTTAATTTTGTTAGTAACGGAAAACAGATAGTGCAGCTTTGCGGTACATTACATTATATATATATCGGCGCACAACTGCTTTAATATGTACATTTTTTTTGGTAGATATATCCTGTACAGTATTTCTTAAGAGAAAGAAGCTATTATGTCTATTAGTCCTTCTAGAAGAAAAAAAAAACGTATTCCCTTAATTCTACTATGCGGAGTATAGTTCCAGGTTGTGATCAACTAACTAATGGGGTCGGATGCAGGTACAATGTTATAGCAAAGTGCTAGGGTTCTTATTAATTTTTAGATTCACAACTCTAAGCAAGATGGGGCTTAACATATAAATGGTAAACCTATAAATCCCCTAAAATCCCTCTAGATCTATAGAAAAGTATATTGTTTACTTGGGCCAAAAGGCGACTCACGTGACCCGCAATTCCTGAAGTTCCCGAGCGTCAAATCTTCATCTGGTTCTGCCGTTGCGCGAAACTCCAGATCATTAGATCATACTGCTCTCCTATTAGCGATTGCTTCGGGTGTCTTTTGCTTACTTCCTCTTTTCCACTCATTTCCTCCGCAGTATTCAAAATGCCCGCCGCCACCCGTGCCGTCCTGCGGCAATCGCAGTTCCTGACCCGGAGAACCGTCGTCAGACACGCCTCGTCCACCTCGGAGGCTGCCTCCAAGGCTGGTGAGACTGCTTCCTCAGCTGCCTCCAAGGCCTCTGAGGGTCTGTCCAAGGTCTCTGCTTCCGCTGGTCCTGCCATTTCCAACGCCGCTGGTGCCCTCCGCAAGATCGGTGGACCCGCCGGCAAGGTCATCTCTTTCGTCGATTGTAAGGGACACTCTTGTTTTTTTCACCTGTTTGGATGGCTACACTGGAGCGTTGGACATTGGGCATTCATCTAAAGAGCAAGCCAATGATTGACCGATTGATCCGGTTGGAATTGTGCCACCCAATCCCGACCTCCTTGTTGACTTCAATCCGTGGGTTACATTTGTATAAGATGTATAGCTAACCATCAATCAATCTAGCTTTGATCCCTCCTACCCTCTACTACTCCAAGGTCGGAATTGAGCTCGGCAGACTGGTGTTCCGTGGCCAGAACATGGCTCCTCCGTAAGTCGGACTCCGTACTCGGTACTCGACCCTTTACCCCCAATCTAACAATCTCTCCTAGCAACCTGGCCACCTTCCAGTCCTACTTCCAGCCCTTCATCAGCAACCCTGCCGCCCTCAAGACCCTCCCCTCCCCCTCGACTATCCTCGCCTCTATCCGCAACGCCAGCCCCAAGCAGCTCGCCTTCGCCGGTGTCACTGCCGCTGAGGTCATTGGCTTCTTCACTGTTGGCGAGATGATCGGTCGCATGAACATTATTGGTTACCGTGGCGAGCCTGCGCACGCGCACTAAGTGGATGTGGATAGAAGAGAATCGTCCTTTCCTTTTTTTCCTATGTTAATCTTCCCGCGCTGTGTATGATAGACGATGGAATTTAAACTGTTGTCTGAGATAGACCTTGAAACTGCAATTCATTTCCTGTACTGTTTGTGATCTCTGAATGTGTAAATGCTACTGTTTGTATGCTCCATTGTAATCTGAAAGTCTGTTGATCTCGACTTTTCCTCTTCTCTTTCCTCCATAAATCTCTCTGTAACCATGATCCAGATTCCCTGGGTACGAATAGTAGTCCTGATATGGTATGTCCATTACGTCCAGACTATTCCACCTGTGGAAATTATTCTTCTCTCGTTGTTTTGTCCTCCGCCTCGGCGGCGGTGATAGATGACGCACAACGCTGATTGGCCCGGGAGGAAAGTCGGCGGACCACTTTTTTTTCTTTTCACAATATCAACGACATTTTCGACTCAACCAACAAAAGAAATGGATGCGTTCAGATTGTTGACTCGGTCAACAAAATTAAAGCCCGTCTCGTCGGCTACAGACTCTCGTCTACCGTCCACTGGAAAAGCAGCTAACCCGCAGCTCTTCCGGACCGCGGAGACCGACAAGCTCGAGTCTGCCAAGAATGGCAAAAAAAGAAAAAGAGGCGCTGCCGTTCAACAGGATGAGGAAGATGTCCCTGATCTCGACTTTTTCAGTTCCAACAAGCGCCCTGCAGTCAGTGTGACGGAAACCGCTGCTGCGACTGCTGCGACCGAGGACGATGAGAAAGTGTCTGCTGAGGATGCTGCATCCGATGACGATGATTCCATGGATGAAGTGGAGCGTCGCACTATCTTGAACTCACACAAGATCAAGGTTACAGACATGCGCGACTTAGAAGAGATCCAAGTCCAGCCTACATCTACCAAAGATTCCAAGAAGAAAAAGAAGAAGTCAAAGAAAGAAGAGGCGCCGACTCTCAGTAAGAAGGAGCAGAAGCGTGCCAGACGCTTGTTCCCGGAGCCCCTGCTTAACTTCAAGGAACTTCGGTCTAAATACAAGATCTCCTCGCGACTCGCAGAGAACGTTGCAGAGCAAGGATTTACCGTACCTACAGAGGTCCAGCTTGGAACCCTTCCGTTGCTTCTTGGAGAATCTTCTGAGCCAGATCTTCTGGTCGTTGCTCCCACCGGCAGCGGCAAGACATTGTCATTCTTGATCCCTGTGATCAACAAAATTGTTCGACACCACCACTCAAACCCCGACGAGCATGGTATTTTGTCTGTGGTTGTGGCGCCCACTAGGGAGCTTGCAAGCCAGATCGTCAATGAGGGCCGCAAGCTAGTGGCTGGAACTGGCGTGAAGATCACGCTGATGAGAAAGGGTATGCGTGTTGGAGATGATGGTGGTGCTGGCGCCAAGGTTCTTGAAGAGAACAGCGAAGAATCATCCGGGTCGGAAGATGAAGATGCCGAAAGCAAGCCAGCAAAGGAGCGAGCCAATGTTCCGGTCACCAAGAGTGATATTCTCGTCACTACGCCTCTGATGTTGGTCAATGCTCTTTCTGCGAATCGGACAACCACCATGGCAACATTACCTCTAGTGCGGAGTTTGGTTATGGATGAAGCTGATGTCCTCTTGGACCCGTTGTTCCGAGAACAGACACTGGATATCTGGAAATCATGCTCACACCCCGACTTGCGTGTCGGCCTTTGGTCAGCCACCATGGGATCCAATATCGAGGATCTCACCAAGTTGACCATCAAAGAGCGACTGGAAGATCTAGGACAAAAGCCAAGCGAGCCACATGCACTACTTCGTCTGGTTGTAGGATTGAAAGACTCTGCAATCCCCAACATCGAGCACAAGCTCGTGTATGCAGCAACAGAGCAGGGTAAACTGATGGGACTTCGCCAACTTCTTCGCCCCGCTGCAGCCTCAGCATCAGATATCCGCCTTCGTCCTCCCTTCCTCATCTTTACACAGACCATCCCTCGTGCGGTGGCCCTACACTCCGAACTCAAATATGATATCCCTGCTGAAGCCGGTGGATCCTCCCGTATTGCGGTTCTCCACTCCGATCTCTCAGATGGCCAACGGTCCGATATCATGCGCGACTTCCGCAAAGGCGAGATCTGGATTTTGGTTACAACAGATCTGCTAGCCCGCGGTGTCGACTTCCGCGGTATCAACGGCGTAGTCAACTACGATATTCCGAACTCGGCCGCCGTCTACGTCCACCGCGTGGGGCGAACCGGTCGTGCTGGTCGCGAGGGCGGTATCGCTGTCACCTACTACACCAAGGAGGACATTCCCTACGTGAAGAGCATTGCCAACATCATCGACGTCAGCGAGAAGCTACGCGGCGGTGAAGAAGGCGAAAAGTCCATCCAGAAATGGCTGCTCGACGCTCTGCCGAACTTGAGCAAGAACAGCAAGAAGGATATGAAGAGGCATGGTGTCAAGGCGCGCCAGGCCCCAAGATTGACCGATAAGGAGGATGATGGAAAGGGCGCTCGTGGTATGAGAATCAGTACCAAGAGTGGCTTTGAGCGTCGCTTGGAGAATAACAAAAGGGGTGCTATCGAGGCCAGTCGTAACAGGAAGGCTGCCGCAGCGACTAGTGGCAACGTCAGCGATACTGGTAGCTGGGGTGGATTGGATGATTAAATGCTCAAATTTCTACTGTACAATACACTATTCCAAGGTTGCTACCGCGGTATTCCCTTAATCACGATCATATCATAAACGCATTAAGTCATCTCATGAAGTATATACACATAAAAGTCCCTCGTCTCAATCATGATATCTATCCATCCATCTACTTCTGGCTCTGACCATTCCCCTGGCCCCGAGGAGCTGCAGCTTGAGCAGCAGGTGGTGGCGGCGGTCTCTCCTCAACAACCTTCCTCACCAACTTGACAGGCACAAAAGCACAATCCAGTAAACCTTGCTCCTCAAGAACGCCCGCAAGCTCGTCGCCATCACGATCATAATGAAGCGCCCATTCACCCTCCTCCTCTTCAACTGCAATAAAAGAATTCTGGTTCCCTTCAAGCGAAATGAACTTCTCATTCTTACACCAGTCCCATGGCTCAACCAGCTGCTCCACACTCTGCGACCGATTCCCGTACCGCAATTCATGCGTTTCGGTATCTGCATAGATCCAGTTGAGAAGGGGCGGGTTGTCCTGGACGTAAGTCGGGAGGCCGAGACCGCGCTCGCGCTTGAGGTATTTCAATTCTTCCGGTTCGGGGTACTCGATATAGAAGGCTAGGGCTGTGAAGGCTGGTGGTGATCGTTTGGAGGGATCTGGGTCGGCGAGGTAGACCTGTGAGGGTAGATGTGTTAGTCTAGTTTGTAATCTGGTTTTTGGTTATGAAGTCTGTAGGGACTGTTGGCGTCTCTATTGCATTTGGGTTCCTTACCTTCTCATCTCTTACAACAACAGCCATCCCGTTCAATTCGCGATCATCGTCTGTGTCCCCATCGCATTCTGCTACGATGTTGAACTTCACCATGCGACGGGCCTCTTCTTTGCGCTGGTTTGCTTTGCGCTGCTCACTGGAAGCGAGGGCGACACCCGTCACTGTTGGAATGGAGGTGAGGGCTAGAAGTCCGATCATTATGTAGGTGGTTGGTGGGATATGGGATATAGGTATGCGATATTAGGTATGCGATGTTTGCCGAACCACAGTCGGTATATGGATGGTAGTATATGCAATTGTGTCGCGATTCAGATCCTTGTATTTGGTCGGCTATGAATAGCACGTTGGTATGGGTGTTTTGAGAATTTGGAGCTGGTATTCTGGCGTTTTGGTCTGGACTCAGGTCTATTGTCGCATTAGTATGATTTGCTTGATATTTGAATAATGTTGGGCTCTTGACTGACCACATGGAAGTAGATAATATCTGTTTTTGACAAATGAGTATAGACACAAGTCATTCTTGTTAGAATTTCTGAATCCTTGGAAACACAGGACCAAGTAGAAATTCACGATCCATCAAAATGGTGACACCGACGTCATCGCCACGTGATGGACCTGCTCCTCTTTTCTGTCGACCAACAATGTTTCCTCATTCATCAAGTTGATTTCCACTGAAAAAAAATGATACGAGAAATTCATTTTTAAGGTCTGACTTTGGAAGGTTGCTTGCATTGCTCAATAACCAACGTCTAGGAATCCCTATTCTAATCTATCGTGTATCGTTATTATTCGTCATTTCGTTTGGTCACCATTCCCAATATGACCTGGCAATACTGCCATTATACCTTTTCACTCCATCCCCAAATCGACCACCAACATTTGACGGCCAGCGCGCCTCCATCGGCACTCTCCCAGTCATCGTAACCGATCTCCTCGCCCTCCTCAACAACAGCCAGACCCAACTCGCCCATTCGCTGCCGGAACTCCTTCACCTGCGGCAGATATGCATCTCGTAGTGGCATCTCTGCCACGACCCGCGCATCGAGCCCACGGCTAAGCCAGGGCTTAATGGTGTCGACCAACCATTTGGGATGGTTGGGCGAGTACAATGGATCCGCGGCAAGAATCACATCAAACTGCTCTTCCGCAGTTGGAAGTGGCGACGGCGTGACCGACCAGTCAAGCAAACCGGTGGTCACAGTCGCCCCAGTTCTGGTGAGGAGTTCTACGTTCAACGCAGCGTTGTGGGCGAGGTTGGGGACAATTTCGGGCAAGTCGGTGAGGTGCACGGTGGCAGATTTACCCTGCAGAGCCGCGAAGGAAAGCCCGACTAATCCGGTTCCAGCCCCGAGCTCGAGTGCCCGCAGAGGTTTCAATGTGGAGGGAGCAGCCGAAGAGGAAACAAGTGCCGGTGGCGATCTGAGGTTGTGAAGCCGGCGCGAGAGAAGATAAGAAGACACCCAAGTCTTCATACCGAGGTTATCCGCCGTGATTGACGGTTCGTGGAGGGTCAGTGTGTATTCTTCGCCGGAGCCGGTGGGCACGTTGAAGATTCGAGACATTGCCGGCATAGCTGGTGGCAAATGAGTCACGGTCAGCGAGATAACATAACACAGCCGGAGAGACGGTGGCCTGCTTACCGGTTCGACCAGACCGTTCACTTAATCGTGCAGCGGCCGTATCCCAGATTGCCTCCCGGAGTTCCTCGGTATCGAGCCATGCGAGTGGACTGGCGATGATGGATGTGAGATACCGAGTCACTCCTGCGGGCTGGACCGCGGGGCCTTTGACGACATCCGCGGTCGTGCCAAATGTGCGTGGCTGTAAGCTCAACAGAGCTAAAGCTTTCACGAGATCGGTTCCCGAGGGCTTTTGGTAGAGTTGCGGGAGATCAAGCACTGCGCTTATCAGCTCCATTATCTTTTGTGGACCGAATGGACTAGAGGGGTAGATTGTGAACTAACCATGTAGGGGCTCATCTGTAGCGCTGATCATGGTGATAACTCTATGTTGTATGATCTCTAAGTCTTGCTGGAGAGGAATGTAAAGCAACAAATTAGTCTCCCAGCTAAGAGAATCGGACGAAATGTGGCGGAGAAAAAAAGAAAATATTCCCAAAGAGGAAAGGCTGGCGCTGCCGTTCCGCGGGTTGACTGTCGCCTAGATTATCAGGCATCAAGATATCAACACAACAACAGGAATCATAAAAACGAAGACTCTTGATAGCGAATGAGAAAAGAAGGGTAGACTTGCCCGAACAGCGTATACCGCTGACCTAGATTCTGTTTTAGGAATACAATAGATGCCCCTAATCAATGTACTTTACAAGGACTCAACCAAAAACAAGCCAGAGTGGGTATATTAAGCTAGCAATCACTGAGGATCATGTTAACATGAAAACATAATGGTATCTATACTGTCCGTCCATATAAACGCCTTACCAAGTAAATGATTCCCGAAGTCAGTTCAACGTTGCCTTGAAACCCTGATAAGCCTGCTCAATATCAAATGCAAGCTCACGCGCTTGATCTTCGCTCAATTCCTCAGTAGCTCGCATTTGATTCAATGCGATCAACCACTGAATGATCTTGCCGCGGTCTTCAAAATCGGTATCTGTTACCTTGTTCACAGACTGAATCACCTCCGATAAGAGCGGATGCAGTGCATCCTTAGATACCATGTTGAGTTTCAATGCATCGAGGAAGGTGATGAAGTTTTCGGTTGCTGCAAGAATAAGACTACCCGAGGCACCGCCAGCCTGTCCCGTCGCTGCTGCGCCCATGCTGGGGGCTGATGCACCGTGAGAAGCTTGTTCAACTGTAGCTGGAAGACCGATGCGCAATCGCTCTGTGGCTCGTGGGCATTCTAACTATATCGTCCACCTGGCGTCAGAGATGCTTTGGAGTTTGCGGGGTAAAATGGAGAACACTCACACCCCAGGTCCGTTTGAAGGTTTCTAGATCCACGAACTCCCGCGACACTGTCTCATCTCCAAGACTAGACTTGTATTGCTTCAATAGCCTTGTGCATGTCTCGGTATATTCTGCCTCGGTGACCACGTCCTTGATGTATGCTTTCTCGAGTCCATCGAGTGTGACGATGATGCTATAGATTTCGGCTAGTGATTCGTATAAGTCGCGTTCGGTTGAGCTGGATGCTAATTTGACTTCCTAAGATAAGTCATTAGTCAATACGACTATCAATGCGGAGACAAGGATCCATACTTCATCGAGGTTGATTGTGGCCGACCGGGCGGGGTTAGGTGTGTAGCTATAGGGGGTTGGCGCATACGAAAGTGGGCGTTGTGAGTACATTTTCGACAAATTCTCGATATGTACAATAACCGTCAGTCGTCAATCGTCAATCGTCAATCGTAAGTGCGAAGGACGTCTTGTTGTCTTGTAGATTGTCTGGACGTTATCGCCCGATGCCAAAGGCGGTCTGAAAGGCGGACCCGCCGATTTTCTCCCCAAATTTTTTTTTTGACCAGCCATTTTTCGACCAAGCTACATTTGCAGACTCTTTTCTGCATTAATCTCTCAAAATGGTTGGAGGTAAAAAATCGACCAAGAAGTTCGTGCAGAACCGTCTGCCGGATGTCCTCGAGCGACGCAAAGCGCATGCCAAGATCAAGCAGAGACATCAACTGAACGACAAGCGCAAGGAAAAAAGTGCTGCTCGCCGCGCCGAAGCCGAAGCCGCCGCAGCAGCGAACCCGGAGGAAGCGAAGAAACAAAATGCCTTTTCCGAAATGAACGTCGACGACTTCTTCGCTGGCGGCTTCGATATTCCCGAGGAGAAGGAAAAGAAGGCCAGCAAGAAGGATACCACCCCCAAGATCGGCAAGCGCAAGCGCTCAGAAGACAAGGCACAGGCGGACGCCGAGGCTTCTGAGGGCGAGAGTGATGAAGACAGCGTCGATGCTTACGACGAGCACAAGGACCAGCTGGAGTCATTGAAGGACAAGGACCCTGAGTTCTATAAATATCTGAAGGAAAACGATTCTGAACTGCTCGATTTCGGTGACCAAGGCGATCTTTCAGAGGTTGACGCTCTGAGCGAAAGCGAAGAACCAGAAGACGAGGAACCGGCTAAAAAGAAGAAGAAGAAGTCCAAGAAGGAAGAGGAGGAGCCCGAGGATGAGACCCTCACTATTGAGATGGTCAAGAAGTGGCAGAAGTTGATGGAGGAGCAGAACTCGATCCGAGCCATGCGCCAGGCTGTGCTCGCTTTCCGTGCGGCCGCCTATGTCAATGACCCCGATGCCCCCGAGCAAAAATACACCATCTCCGACAAGAACGTCTACCACCAGGTTCTCGTCACGGCCCTCAACACCATCCCCAAGGTCCTGGCCCACCATCTCCCCGTCAAGGAGAGCGCTTCTGGCAAGATCAGGGTGTCATTGGATTCCAAAAAGTTCAAGACCCTCACACCTCTGATCAAATCGCACACTGCTTCAGTTCACCAGCTTCTGATTAACTTGTCCGATGCATCGACACTCAAGTTGACCCTCGCGTCAATTGAGCCCATGCTGCCTTACCTTCTTCAGTTCCGCAAGGTGCTGAAGACACTCGTTAAGATTGTCGTCGGAATTTGGGCTGATGTGTCCACGGCCGACGCCACCCGTATCACAGGTTTCTTGATTCTGCGCCGCCTTATGGTTCTGGGAGATGCAGGTATCAGAGAGAGTGTGCTCAAGGCCACCTATGAGGGTGTTGTCAAGGGTAGCCGCAACACAACGGTGCACACGCTAGCAGGCGTGAACCTGATGAAGAACTCCGCAGCCGAAATTTGGGGCATCGACCAGAACGTCTCATACACAGCAGGATTCTCCTTCATTCGTCAGCTTGCTATGCACCTGCGCAAGAGTATTACCAACACCTCCAAGGAGTCCTACAAGACCATCTACAACTGGCAATACGTGCACTCACTGGACTTCTGGTCCCGAGTGCTTTCACAGCACTGCGATGGCCTTGTCGAGGCTCAAATCGGCAAGCAGTCCGCTCTGCGTCCCCTCATCTACCCCGTCGTGCAAATCACCCTGGGCGCCATGCGCCTCATCCCAACCGCCACGTACTTCCCTCTGCGCTTCCAATTGACGCGCTCCCTGCTCCGCATTTCCCGCGCCACAGGCACCTATATCCCGCTCTCAGCTTCACTTCTTGAGGTCTTGACCTCCGCGGAGATGCGCAAGCACCCCAAGTCCAGCACGCTCAAGCCCTTGGACTTCAACACAGCGATCCGCGCGCCTAAATCCTACCTGCGCTCGCGCACTTACCAGGACGGCATTGGTGAGCAGGTCGCCGAGCTCCTCTCCGAGTTCTTCGTCCTGTGGTCCAAGCACATTGCCTTCCCGGAACTGTCCGTGCCCGTCGTTGTCTCCCTCAAGCGCTGGCTGAAGCAGGTCTCTGCCCGCAGCGGTGGAAACAAGAACGCCAAGATCAACCAGATGATCCTGCTGCTCGTGCAGAAGGTTGAGACCAATGCCCGCTGGATCGAGGAGCGTCGTATGAACGTCTCGTATGCTCCCCGCAACCGCTCTAGCGTCGAATCTTTCCTCAAGGATGTTGACTGGGAGACTACTCCTGTCGGTGCGTTCGTTAAGACGCAGCGCAAGCTGCGTGAGGAACGTGCTGCTGTCCTCGAAGAGGGTCGTATTGAGGAAGAGAAGCGCAGAGAGGAGGCGAAGAAGAACGGTGGAGAGGATGAGGAGATGGGTGGTGTTGCTGGCAGTGATGATGGCAGCGAGGATGAGGATGAGGGTGAGGAGGAATTGGAGAGCGAGGAGGAAGCCGAGATCGAGAGTGAAGATGAAGACGAGCTGGAGATGGAGGACGAGTAGATCGTCTAGTTTTTTTGTTTAATTTGTATATCTCCTTGTCCACGTCCATGTCCATCTACTTCACACGGTTATTGCATATGTCTTTGTTTACCAGGATACACCATGGGTAGTTACTCAGTCCTACAAAAAGAATCATTTATCTTAACAAGCTTCATATCATCATAGGTCTCATAAATCTACGCTCTGTAAAACAGTCCAATAAATCAACGAGCAAAAAGGGGGTATATCAAAATGCACCAGCTAAACAGACCCAACAGGTCCATGGTCCTGACCCCAAGCCCTAGACCTATCCCTCCGCATAGCAGCATCCTCCTCCTCAGCCCAAGCCAAGGACTCACTGGGCAACATAACAGCCTTATCAATAGCAACGGGCAAACCGCGATGTCTACCGCGCAAAGCCACAGCCGCAAGAATCAACTTGCTAACAGTATGCCATGCGCCACAGAACGAGTAATTCTTCCCAGGGAACCCAAGACTGACACCGACACATCCGTAAGCAGATACAACCTCAAAGATGATGTTGAAGGTGGAGAAAGCCACAGGCTGGGATTCATAGTGGTCTGACTCGCGGATGGCGATGAAGAATACCGCCAGCGCGATCCACCACAGGTCATGGCTGAGCTGGGAGCGGAGCTGCTGGTGCACGAAGTAGCCGCGCGAAGTCTCAGATGGGCCTGGACGGCCGAGGTGGTGGCGGATTAGGTCCATTACTACGTTGCTGCGGCTTGTGTTTGCTGGTGAATCTGGGGATTCGTCGTGCGCGTAGATGCCTAGCGAGCGTTCTTCGTAGACGTTCGTGTTGCTGTGTGTGTGTTAGGTGGCGGTTGATTTGGTGTGGGTTTGATTCATGGGTTACTTACCGCATTGTGAGTGTTACTGGGTACGCAGAGACGTACTGGGGGACTTGTTAGTTTGGGGTTTGATGTATGGAGTGTGAGATTGATATGTCTTACCATCATGAGCACTAGAGATTCTGTTAGTATGATGATCTTTCAGTGTGGGGATTTTGAAGGCACTTACCATAGAGAACCAAGAGACCTTGGCGAAGATCGGCAATGGTTACAACGTAGAATCCACCAGCGCGTACCGCTTTATTCGAAGGGATTCGTTAGCTTGATTCGGATATGACGCGGGTGATGGTATTGGTTGACATACCTAGGGCTTGAAAGAGTCCATCCAACACACGGTACTCAGAAGGAAGACTCTCAATGTCTTTGTTTCCAATAGACAGCAGCTCAAATGCCGCCCAGTCGATACCGTTCAAAATGATAATTGTGCCAAGTAGATACCACGTATGGCGAGCAGGGAAGAGATTAGTATAGACCTGGCTTCATGATAAGTGTCTAGATTCTGCAAGCTATTAGAGTAAGACAACATGACTTACCCTTCGAGGATGCTCCAGGATGAAATCAAGGGTTATACGCCACGACTGCCACCTCGGCCGATCCGGAAGCATGATCCTAATGGTCCAGATGATGAACCGAAGAAAACATGGGAAGAGGGTGTTTCCGGCAAGAATCAGGAATCCCATTGTGAGAAGTGGGTAAGCACTAGAGAAGGTCAGCAAGCTTGACGATTGGAACATAAGGGGTCTAGGCCACCTACTTCAACTGCAAAGCAGTCATATTAGCATCCAGAAGCGACATGCCACTGTTCACGAAAGCAGAAACAGCAAAGAAAGCACCCGTCCAGAAAGGCGAGAGGCCATTCGTGCGCGTCACTTCGGGATCATTGACTTCCAGCCAGCCACCGACACCGATCATGCCAAAGATAATGAACAAGATAAAGTAAAGGAACACAACCACCGACAGAAATGAGACGGCCTTGTACTCGACGCCACCTAGCTCATCACGCTCAGCAGGAGTGAGATCGTGGAACTGGGAGTTGCGAGACACAAGTCCCTTAGACGCCATGTACTTCTGCGTACCACGGAGAAGTCCCTTGAAGCCAGATACTGAATCCTCGACTACCAAGGGAACATTGGGCACTGCGTCGCGGGGGTGATTATGCAGATCCGGTCTCGCCCCAATGCCAGCCATGGGGAAGACTCGGTGGTGATGGTGACGGGGTGTGCCGCCAATGGTTTTTTGGTCGTCGTCCACCCATTGCTGTTCATCACGGGATGATGACTCTCCCGGTTTGATTTGGACCAGCACAGATGTCTTTGCGCGTGGCTTACAGCTGAGTCCATCGGTGTTCTCGCCGGAGAGATCAGCCCCGGTACTTCCTTGAACGGGTTCCCGGTCCTGCAGTTCAACTTGCGAGGGGTTACGAGTAGACCGCTCTCTTTCCCGCTCATCGGAGACACCCTTGAACTTTGCCTCGAAAGCCCTCTTACGTACTAGAAGTACGGTGAGGGAGATAAGAATGGCATGGCCCAAAATAAGCAGGACGAACAAAACTGCTTGTTGGAAGCTATTCAGAGTTGACAGATCCACCTGTTAATTGGGTCATTAGCCTACGAAACAGTCCATACATGAGATTAGATTCAGTCCATACCGTATTCAATCCAGCACCGGTCATGGCACTGACACACAGGAAAATCGAGTCCACGTAGGCAACACTGAGCCATGGCGTCGATGTTAAATAGAAAATGATACTAGCGATCATGCATGTAGCAATGAAATAGAGATAGTGTAGCGTCAAGAAATTCAGAGGCGGGAGCACTGCCATTATGGCGTTCCCAGTCTTCCTCCGCCACTTGCGGACTGTATAAAACGGTTAGTTGAAAATTATTGGCAAAGTAGACCAGGTGCACATACGGATCAGCGGTGCATGCATATTAATTTGGCGACAAAATTCGCCAGGACTTGAGAATGCGCAATCTGTTTTGTGTGTTGGATTCTTTGCCGTGGAGGCGTTATCGATGTAATGATGAAAACTTGAAGTTTCTTTTTTTTTTTTGCAGGATTTTTCAGGGAAACCCACACAACAGAGATATTTCGAATTAACACAGTTAATGTCAAATAGAATATTTATGAGAATTATATAGTTAAATAAAGAAAAGAAAGAAAAAAATGTAAAAGCTCAACGGCCGAACAGCTAAGCCAATTCGAGTTAACTATGTGGGCTCGAAAATATCTTAACGGCCACACAGGAATGCAGAAGAAGAAAAATGATCGCTATAACGGGATAAATATCAGGATAAATATCAGGATAAATATCAGGATAAATAGAAAAGATCATTGGTCAAAAGGGAAAAAATCATGAAACTACGGTGAACGGAGAATTTAAACGGTTGGCCCATAAGGCTGATCATGCATAGGAAGAATACCCCATTAGGGTTAGGGGAGGTCATATAGTAAATGCCCTTTACGAGCTATATATCAACCAAATAACTACTCTATATCAACTACATACATATAACTTATTCCCGTACCCAATGCCCACTTTTTCCACCCTGTTTCTCCAACAATCTAACAGAATTAATAACCATCCCCTTATCCACAGCCTTCAGCATGTCATAAACCGTCAAAGCTGCACCCATCGTAGCTGTCATAGCCTCCATTTCCACCCCTGTACGACCAAAACAGCTGACCGACGCCACGACATGCATAGCACCATGATCCCTGTCCTGCGCAGGCCCAACTAGTTCCACGCTAACCTCGACCCCAGTAATGCCGATCCCGGGATGACAAAGGGGCACGATATCAGGCGTTTTTTTTGCGGCCATGATACCCGCGATCCGGGCAACGCTGAAGACGTCGCCTTTGTGTGTGGTTTGGCCTTCGCGGAGGATTGCCCAGGGTCGTGGGTTCGAGAAGGAGACGGTGCAGGCGGCTGTAGCGACGCGTTTTGTTTCGGGTTTTTCGGTGATCTGGGTCATGTGTACGGTCTTGGATGGTGTGAGGTGAGGGAGGTCGGCGTCTGAGGTGGTAGGTAGGGAGGGGGATGGGCGAGGAATACGGTCTTCGGTCTCTGGTTTAGAGCGCCCAGAGTGGTATAGACGACTCTGGGAAGCTGCAGAGAGATGCGAAAGCATATGTACTGGTATGGTTGACCAAGAGTGAGATCCTGACCTCCATGGTTTCAGTTTATTATCTATTTCATCTATCAGCCTGATGATTCAATGTAACAATGTCCGAATACATTAATTTCATGTATACATGGTATCAAGTAAGATCTCGCCAATTTCAGGATATCCAAAAGAAATGTTCATCCGAAATGATTTACAGGTCATAAAGCGTTTCCAATCATGAAAAGAGAAAATGAAAGTGAAAATGGCTACCCACCAATCAAGATCATAGGGCGGTTCTTCATATCCTTCAGTTGCGCCATGCCGGCGTGTTTTGCCTTCTTTCGTTTCACTGCCATACCGATGATGTCAAGAATCTCACGTTCTCGCTCATTCACCAAGCCGCCTTCATCACTAAGGCGTGCTGCAGTTTGTACTGTTTCCAACAGTTTCAGGTTGTTCATTGCGTCCAAGTCAATTGGGTTCCCACCGTTCTCCTTGCGGATGATATCGCGCAAGGAAACTTCGGCGTTACCGAACAGGCAGACTTTGAGATTTCCGTCGCTAGTAATGCGTAACCGGTTGCAGGTACCACAGAAGTTGTGTGTCATGCTCGTGATAAATCCCACGCGGCCTTCGAAGCCAGGAACACGGTATGTCTTACTCGTATCATTCTTGTGGTCGGCCACTTTTTCGAATGTGGGATACTTCTCTCGGATGACAGCCAGCATCTCCTGATATGAGAACATCTTTCCCTGGTTCCATTTGTTCCCGCCGAAAGGCATATACTCGATGAAGCGCACTTCGACCGGTTTCTCGCGGCCCAGTTCCACGAACGGAAGGATCTCTCGGTCGTTCATTCCCCTCATGACAACGCAATTGATCTTCAGCTTGATCCCCGCACCTGCCTTGTTCATTTCCAGAATTCGGTCGATGCTCTTCATCACAGCATCGAATCCCTTGCGTCTTGTCATGATCTGGAACTGGAACGGATCCAGCGTGTCCAGGCTGAGATTGACTCCGGTCAACCCAGCCTCCACCATCGGGTCCAATTTTCGATGTAATGAGATCCCATTGGTTGTCAAACACAGTTCCCGAAGCCCATTTTGTCGCAGCTTGCCAATGTCCTGCATCAACGGTACGATATCTTTGCGGACCGTCGGCTCCCCGCCCGTCAATCGAATTTTAGTGACGCCTTGTGAGACGAATAGCGAGGACAGGTATAGAATCTCCGGGGACGTAAGCAGTTTCGCAGAGGGCGAGAGGTCTATACCTTCTTCGGGCATGCAGTACAGACACCGAAGATTGCACCGTTCCGTGATGCTAATGCGCAGATAGTCATGTTGGCGATTGAAGGTATCGGTGAGGAAATCGGAGAAGGGCTTCGCAGACTTGAGTTTTGATAGTTTAGAGGATTCGGTTGATGTGTGCGGAGGTGGTAATTCGGGGGAGGTGACGGTGGCGTTAGGTCTTGATGCGGCGCGAGTGCTCTGGAGTCGAGTCTGGATGCCCCACTGGCGAGTAGCCCTAGGGCAAGACCAAAACCGCTTGCACAAGCTAGCCATGAGGAAGTTTTTTCAAGGGGTAAAATGTTGCATGTTGGAGCTAGATATATATTCCAAGAGGTCCTCCGCGGAGGAATGAGGGGAATGTCTCTTATCGCACATGCTCTCGGCGGGCTCCGTGCTGAGTCATAATATCTTCATTTCAATTGGTCATCGAGTCCACTACATCAACTAATCTATAGCCGGTAACAACTTCTGCACTCGTTTCACCAGGCTCTTTTCGAACTGTTCCACCCCATTCTTCTGTTCGTTCATCTTGCCTTGTTTAATCACATAAACAGACCGTCGCCTTGGCGTTTCTTCAGTCTCTTCCTCCTCTAGTCCTTCGAAATCTTCGTCCAGTTTGTGCTCAGTGTCTCGCTTGCCCTCGACCACAGATCGAACAAGGAAACGATCGTGTGAAATTAGAAGCACAGCACCGTTGAATGAGGAGATAGCCGTAGCTAATGCAGTGACAGTGTAGAAATCTAAATGCGTAGTGATTTCATCAAGAATGAGAAGCTGTGGTGCGCTCCAGACGATTCGAGCTAATGCAAGGCGGACCTAGATTTGATAATATTATTAGCTTGCTTCAAATGTTTTACGTTGATCTTTCACGTTTCACATACCAATTGTCCACCTGATAGTTTGGCAACAGGGACATCAGATGCGATACGACCTGCTAACCCCATTGAAGAAAGTAGACCTCGAATAGCACCTTCATTCAGGGATCCTTCGGTTTCAATCGTTAATAATCCCAGTGCAGTTAAGCTAGGCTCGCCTCGGCCACGCTCTTGCAGTTCTTCCACGGAATGCTGGCTATAGTAACCCACTTTCAGCCGGGAGTGAGTTGACACTTTGCCCTTGGAAGGAGATAGCTGTCCCGTCAGAACTCGGAGCAGAGTGGTCTTCCCCGAACCATTGAGACCCATAATCCCGACACGATCACCCAGATGAACGACCAAGTTCACGTCGTCCAGGATGACACGGTCGGCTTTCTTGTACTGGAAAACAATACCCTCAAGCGATACCAACGGCCCGGGAAACCGCAACTCCGTCGCATCAGGCAAACTCATAGTCGCGCCCTTTTCATCTGTCGGAACGTCGATCTCAGCTCGACTCTGGAGATGAAATCCGACTAGATCACGATTCAGTTTGAAACGCCCCCCGTTCGCGCTGACTTGGAGACCCATCCGATCATCAACTTTCTTCTGTCGCGACTTAGCTTGTCTCAGCTTGTTTTCGTCATTGGTCTTTTTTCCAATCTTGATATTCTCCCGGATACTAGCTTCCATATGTGCAACCTGACGCTCTTGAGCCTCCTTCATGCGCCCCAGGTAGAGTTTCTGTTCCTCGAAATCTTGCTCGTATGCAGACAGGTTCCCTCGGAAATACGTCAGTTTCTGGTCTCGGATGATGACAATCTCCTCGCAGACAGCATTGATGAAATCCCTGTCGTGTGAAACCAAGACGATGGTTGTCTCTGATGTGTCGCGGAGCTGTTTCAGGTAGTTCTCCAGCCACACCACTCCCAGAAGATCCAGGAAATTGGTTGGCTCATCGAGGATCATGATGTCGGGGTCTTGAACAAGAATGCTGGCTAGCATACATCGCATACGCCAACCACCTGAGAGCGTCGAAACTTTCTTCCCGAATCCGTCTTCTTTGAAGCCGAGACCAAGGAGAATACGACGAGCTTGTTGCTCCATATCGGCAAGTTTCATCTAGTTTCACGTTAATGGAGTAGGTGCACGGCCGTCGTATAAAGTCTTACATCTTCGAGTTGAGACTGTAAATTTTGTAATGTTTCGACGGCAGCTTGGGTATCCGACTGGACCATATCCGCATCGATGGCGTCTAAATCCTGTGCCAACCTAACAGAAGTCAGATATAGTTTCTAGCGCGAATGAATGCAACCGACATTTCTGATGTGGCCTCGAGCTTCCCCTCGGCAGCCTTCAAGTCTTTCCTTGCTTGTAGACCTCGAGCACCGCTTTTCAGGCTTGCGTTTTTGTGTGCTAGAAAGAGATGCTTTTCTGCTTTCTGGTGTCGGATTTTGCGAATTGCCCGCACGGGCTGCATTGGATCTTCAGTCTCAAAACTCTTCGATAGGACTTGTGAGGTCAGCCAGGTGCAATTCCAATTGAATAAGCATACGAACACTCCGCCATCCGAACAGCCTCGTTCCTTGTTTCATCGCTGCTGAGAACGGCTTCCAGAACAGTTTTGTCCTGATTAGGATCTTCACCAAAAGTTTTGTCATCTTGTTCGTCCGTCTGCTGCAAAATCGCCATGCGCGTCGCATGCGGGATGCCAGGAATGAGTTTCTCTGCCATTGCCCGGAGGAGCGCTGGTAAAATCAATATGCTAAGCCTTGCAAATGCTAATTGTTGGGGTCTGTCTCACTAGACTTCCCAGTTCCATTTCGACCTAGCAACCCATAGTGAACGCCTGCCTTGAGTCGTAGGTGGGCGTCTGAGATGAGCTCTCTCCCTGCAGCCTTGGCCTTTGATTTCCCTTTGGTCTTTGATTTCGATGCATCTTCCGTGGATTCGGGGGCGGATAATGTGACTATGATGTTCAGTCCATCTACATCAATCTGACAACACAAATTTCAACGTCAGTGGTCATCTCGATCATTATTGTAGCTACCCATACCTCCTTCGAAGGATTGTCATCTAGCAGATGGAACCGTGTCTGTTTGCACGTTGCCAGAATTGTTGAGGCGGATGTCATAGCTTCAGTAATTTAGTTAGATTTCTTAGTCGTGGGTGGTTTTCACCAGGGTTCAAGTGTTAGATATCTGAAGTAATTCCTGAAGTCGGTTCTGGCGAGCTCATATAAAAAAAACTCTCAACAGCAGCCACGGCACTCAAGCCCTTTGCAGAATCAAAATGCGCCACTATGACTCCATTAAACTTCTTATTCTTGAGTCATCGAATCAAATATGAACGAATGCGAACAATTAGATGCTGCTTGATGGCCATTCCGGGGTCGGGGTCCGAAAGAGGAATAAACCGGTGCCTGAGGCAGTGACTCGCATTCCTTGGCCATTTAGCGAAGTCGCACTTGCATCACTGTGCTCTCGCATTTTGCATTTTCCAATATGAGTTATTTAGTAAATTATGAGAGGTCGTACCTATATATACCTCGGTATCAGTGACTCACAATTCTTTGATCCTGTGCGTTGTGGTTAATTGCATCAAACTATAAATATATATAGAGGGAACGGTGCTCTCTTTACACGACAAGAAATTCGAATTTCGAAAACAAAATCCCACGAAGAATAAGAAGCCAAGCCAGTCGATAAATATTCGAGACAAGATGTAGTTCTTTTCTTTTCTAAATTGAATCTCAAAAAGGACGTAGTCATACACCTAGCCAATAGCATTGACAACGAGAGTTCGAACGAATAATATGATATCATCTATATTCCGTTAGTCCCCTAGGCATGTTGGAAAACGTCGGGATCTAGATTATCAAGGGCTAGCCCTATACCATGATATTAAGGTCGTCTTACCCAAATGCTAGCAACATGAAAAGCAAAAGTCTACAGCGACACGTGTATGTTCTCCATTCTGCTCCATATTCGAGATAGACCGGGGAAGACTAGAGTCTAGTTCTCGAATGTTCAAACAAGCAAAGTCCAGAGCGACCGATCGAGATCTCTAGTCAGGCACCAAAGCTGGGACATAGTCCATATTTTACTCATTATCCACGATAAGGTGTGATCTAGATCTAGATCTTAATTTCTGCATATCCACTAAAGCGTTCAAGAGTCTCGACCACGCCCATGCTTGTTGGAAATTTGAGCGGGCCTGGGACGAGTCGTCAGACGACCAGAAAATAACCTGAAACCGGGCCCGTTGTCAGGGTTTATGGTGAAGGGTCTAGAGGCTTGAAAAGCTGGGAGATCAGGGCATGGTGGCGGGTCTTATAGTAGGAGGCGTCAGGTAACCAGACAATGGGGTCCAGGGAAGAGATCTAGTCTAGACGTATGTGATTGCATGAAAAAATCGAGGCGCTGATAGCATACGTAAGTAATGCTGGGCTACTATGGCAGAGACGCACTTTTCATACCGACCCATGTCACGAGAATCAATTATATGCAGCTATTAGCAGGCAAATAGTATAGCAAAAGAGTGATGGCTGGGGCGTGGATGGAGATCGAGCCAATGGCCTAGATCCACTGTTCGAACTCGGGACAGTTTGATAAAGGATCCGCACAAGAGGCGTTCTTGCAGAAACTTCAAAAAAGGAAATACGTACGGAGTACGGAGTAGTTCGACTCGAGTCAGCTATTGGCGTTTATGTATCGGCATTATCGACTTTAGGGAAATGCCGTGAATATTTTCCAGTGTCTATTTTTAAGAAGCATAAAACTACAGTTAGTGCGGTTGTTGTGGCACTGAGGCGCAGAATTAACTCAGCCTCTTTGCACGCAGTCACTCTACGCGGCCGGGGATCAATGGTAATCCGAGTCAGCCCTACATCTTGTAGTAGATCAAGATAATCACTGGCAACACAAAGCGGGCTGCCGAAGAGTCGAGACTCAGGGGAAAGTTGGTTCTTCGGGTGAAAAAATCAAAAAGGGGTAATGAGTTACTCCACCGTGTCTGCCCTGTCTACCGTGGTGTTTCGCCTTGTTAAGGTTCAGGGGCAATCCAAATAGGCAAGTCTATAGAAATGAAGGAAGATTCTAGGGTACCGGCATGGAATTTATCCATGGATAATGCACTCGATTATGAGACCTCGGAGATCGACTGGAAGAGATTTAGTGTTTAATAAAGCCGGACTAGCTAGCCTGATTAGGAATAGAGTACCGTATCACGTGAGCGTAAGTCCACCGAGCCTGAATGGCTCCCAGTCCTTCTCCTTTGGCATCCTTTCTTGCCGACCCGCTTCAACTTTAGAAAAGCTTATTGCGGTTCTCACACACGGGAGCACGAGAGGACGGACTGGCCAATCTACATCTCTGACTGGTTCGCCGTGGTTTATCCGGTTCAGGGGGCCTGGCGAGACGCCGGTGTACGTACATCCTAGTTTTGATGAAACAAGGGATTCTTGTCGACACATGGGAATATGGGAAATGCACCCTGGATCACAATCTGCTTGGCATAAATATGTGTACATATGTACGGAGTACATTGTAAGTATTAACTATTATGGGTCTGGGGCTCAACGCATATTGCATGTTGTATGTTGTACGAATTGCAGAAAGTAAGGACACATTTTTTTACCCACTGCTCACGGCATTATGGCCGAAGCCCCTCAAAATAATTGGCTCAGCCCCGAAAGCCGCTAGCTGCAGTTACTCTTAGTCCGAACAAGGTTGGTAAGGTATTTTCTTGAAGTTTGAGCTTTCAGGCCCTAAATCCATTGAGATATTCTTGTGTACATTTAGGCGATCCAATCCAACATTGATGTCAACAGGAATGTGAAAATCACTAAAGCAGGCAATCCTCGATAAACAGCCCTGGAGAAACATGGCACAGCCACTTGCGTCACGAAAGGTACAAAAAAGGTACAATTACAATACAATACGTTTCCAATACCCTAGCCCTGGAAAGTTTTACTTGACGGCCACTACTCGGATCAGATGCTTCTTGCCCTAAGATTGGCCCACTTCTAACATGTTGACTGGTACTCCGTAGAGGATATGTATTCATAGGGGAGTACTGTGAATATTGAATGTTTAATAGACTATCGAATATAAAGATTTAACTAAATTTAGTTTTCTACCCATGGATTTATCACTAGTAGAGAGTACTCTGTAGATGAAGCATATATGTTGTACATAAATAATAACGTTATGGAGCACGGAGTATAGATCTAAAAATCATAAATACATTCCCTGGATACGGTATTGTAAACAATCCAAGATTGGAAGTTCCGTCCAGTGGCAACCAATCACGGGATTGCATTCCTGAGGCCCCCGCTGACTCAGAAAGGACGCGCAATCCCCTGTTGCTATTCCGGAACACTTTGTCCCTTTCCCCATTTCTCTACCAAGTTCAATTATCCATCTAGATCCAAATCCATATTCCATTAGACCTTCGTTTTTCGGATCATTCTTATCCTTATATTTTCCCTCTTTCTTAAATCTTCTCAACCTATCTCACTTATACCCCCCACATACTTATCTCACGCCATATCTCACGCCATATCTACCCTATCTCTACACAGTCGAGGGACAGCCTTATTCAGATTACCATGGCGACTCTCGCAGAACATCCGATGCAACCCGTTGCCAACTATGACCAAGAACTAGACTCATTCATCAACTTCGATCAACTCACTTACACATCCGACCCCTCCCGCTCAAAGGTTATGGTCAGCCAACCGTCGGTCGCAAGCACCGAGTTCAGTGCCAGTGACGCCCGCAGTGCCAGCTTCGCCTCAAGTGGCCAGTCCCCCCTCGCATTCCAGGCCCCAAGCCACCAGTACGACGAACACAGACAACAGACTGGTCTCCCACCCGGTGCTTTGTCTATGTCTTACAGCCAGGTCCCGATGGGCTTCAACAATGGTCAAGGATTTCCCGTGAACGCCGAGGTGTATGCTGGTCATCACATGAAGCGCGAGGACGCACAATTCGACTTCAACACCGCACCGGGCCGGAACCCGTCAGAGATGGAGATTGATCCCGAAAACATGAATCCCTCACCATACTTCTACCCGGCAAACCCTGGGCACAAAAACCAATATGTCGATCCCAACGCTCTCGGAGGCCATGAGCTGGCTCAGGCTGGTCCGTCTACACAGGTCGGTCGCATGTACCCCGGGATGCATCAGCAGCAGGCTGCGATGGCCAAGGCCCAGCAACAAAAGCAAAGCGAGATGGTCCGCCCTCAGATACAGCAGCGTCCGGATCAAGTGCCCGATGTTATGCCTCAAGCCCGTGGTCCCCGCAACCCTGATCCTGTGGTCGAGGAGCGTATCTCCCGTCTACTCCAGCAGATGCGCCAGAATGCTATGGCCAATGGCGAGGGCTCCCCCAGTCCCTCCAACGGTATGCCGCAGATGGCCAAGGCCCGGAAGGACGAGGCCGACATGGATGAAGATGAGCGCCTTCTCGCTAGCGAGGAGGGCAAGAAGCTCAGCAGCAAAGAGCGCCGCCAGTTGCGAAACAAGGTTTCCGCTCGCGCTTTCCGATCTCGCCGCAAGGGTATGACTCTCTGAACACTTGAATACATATGTAATGTCCTTTGTGCTAACGTCTCTCACCAGAATACATTGGTCAGCTTGAAAGCGAGGTGGCCGCTAGAACCAACGAGGCCCACGAGGTTCGCCTCCAGAACCGCGCTCTTTACGAAGAGAATGCCCGCCTGAACGACTTGGCCCGCATGCTTCTGGGATCTCCTCACTTCTCCAACTTCTTGAACGACATGGGTGACACTATGCCCGTTCAACCCCAGCAGCAATCCCAACAACAACCTCAGCAGCAGCAACAAGTCCAGCAGGCTGCACCCCAGCCCAACATGCAGGCTATGCCCAAGGACACGAATGCCAACCGTGGCCAAGAGTTCCAGATGCAGCAACCCCCCCAGGCCAATATGGTCATGGTTCCCAACCAAGGTATGGACCCCTCCAGCATGGGCATGAACAACGGCGGCTGGAACTCCGGAATCGACATGAACTACGGCAACACTCCCGTCTTTGCTGTCATGGAGGTCCCCGAAGGCCCGGCCCTTGATGCTGAAGTTCTGTCCGGAAAATCCTCATCTTCCTTCAGC